AAATCATTAGGAAAAAGTGTATAAATTGCTGAGCCTTTTTAATTATGGTTCTTTGTAATTATATCTGTACAGATTCATCATTTGTTTTATGCAGCAATGTTCTGATACTTTTGAATTCGTATGTTGCAAAATTTATTTGATTTTTGATTGATAAAATGTAATGTAGTTGGCTTATCTTTGTGGTATATTAGGTTGTTGTAATCTGTTTGCACTATTTTTGAATAATATGGTTTATTAGGTATGCAAAAAATTGGGATAATGTGAATTTTTTGAAAACCCAGACAAAATAATTTTAAACTTAAGAGAGCGGTTTAACAGGAACTGCACTCAAAATTACACTTAAGAAAGCGGTTACACAAGAACCGCTAAAAGATCTACACTTTAGAAAGCGGTTCACAAATGAATCGCTCAAACAATTAGACTTTAGAGAGCGGTCTGTAACAGACCGCTCTAAGAAAATGACTTTGGAGTGCGGTTATTGGAACTGCTCTCAAAAAGCTTAACATCAGAGAGCGGTTGCCTGATTAACCGCTCTCCAAAGTTAACATTTAGAGAGCGGTTAGGCAACGAACCGCCCTCCAAATTGTACATTTAGAGAGCGTTTAGGCGGGGAACCGCTCTCCAATCTATTCAAGTCTTAGAGCGGTTCCCCGCCTAACCGCTCTCTTAAGTACCATTTAGAGAGCGGTTGAGGGCAGAACTGCTCTCCAAGAGTTAACATATGAGAGCGGTTAAATAACCGCTCTCTTAAATGCAAGGACATTAGATAGCGCGCAATTTTAGAGCACCAATAACGGCTCTCTTAATTCAATCAGAACCGCTCTTAGATCTCATTATTGGTGTAGTGAAATAAGCTACATTTAAGAAGCATGGTCTTTTCAATCTATGGCCACATTTTACAAGCATGGCTACAAGTTATGTCCTTAGCCCATCCCACAAAAAACGTGGTCTTTGATAATTATAAGCCACACTTTCTAAGTGTGGACCAAAATAGTGTAGCTGAAGACCATATTTCTTGTAGTGAGTTGTCAATAGATGCCTTGAGATATACCTCAGATGTATGTGCAGTGATACTCCTTATCAATGGGTCAAATGGTTGGCACTAGCAGAATAGTGGTACAATACCACATTCCACACTTCAGTATAGACAACTCCCTATGAATTTGTGTATGGATAGCCTCTACCTATATATTTGCCTTATCTTCTTGGTGAATCAAAGGTTGAGGTAGTGAATAGAAGTTTGGCTACGCGGGAAGAGATGCGGAAAATGGTTGAGTTCCATCTTAGAAGGGCTTAGGATAGAATGAAACAACTTGCAGACAAGCACACGATTGATAGAAGGTTTAAGATTGGTGATCTAGTCTATGTCAAACTCTATGCCTACAGACAGATATCAGTGTCATATCAATGTCTCAGAAAAATAATGCTAAGTTGTCTCTTAAATACTTTGGTCCATTTAAAGTAATTGATCATATTGGAATGGTAGCCTAGAAGTTGGAATTGCCATATGGGTCTAAAATACACAGCATATTTCATGTTTCTTAGCTTAGGAAACATGTAGGAGCAGCCCCAACTTTTGTTACCTTGCCTGAAGCAACAGAAGCAGCACAAATGGATAAGGAGCCTGAAGACATTTTAGATTGAATGACAGTAAAGAGATAAGGAAGAGCAGTCACTAAAGTCCTCATTAAATGGAAACACCAACTTCCCAAAGATGCTACTTGGGAATTTTACTATGACCTTATGAAGAAGTATCCAAATTTCCATCCTTGAGGTCAAGAATGTTCTAAGAGGGAGGCATTGATGCAGGATCTTTTCTAATTGTGTTGTAAATAATATAATTGGGAAATTGTTAGTTAGAAGTTGTTAAAAGAGATGAAGGTTAGTTAGCCAGCTCATAGAGGATGTAATCGTGCATAGCCAGTCTGTTGGTTAGTTAGATGGTTAGGTGAGTTAGCGACTGTATAAAGAAAGTAGCGGTTAGTAAACAAAAAAGAGGATATTGATTCTGTTAATTCCCTCTATTGTAATTTGTTCATTTTAATACAATAATATCAAAGTTTCTTCTTCTATGGAATTCCTTTCTTCCTCTCATTGTTCTTCGATTTTCCCTATAACTATCAACCCACATCAAAATGACTGTGAAACGTGAGTAAGAACCATGAAATTTAAGATCAAATGGGTAATCGTGATTTCATAATAGTAAATAATAAAGATAGAAATCACATCAAATAATCTAATATAGGCTATTCATAGCCTCCTTAGGGCTGGCCCAGTTTATATTCTTCAGCCTAATCATTGTACATGTACAATTGATGCTCCTTACACACTCAGAACAAGATATCAATGTCATAGGTCATACTTAGAATTACAAGGACACCATAATCTTCGACAGTTATTATAGTAATTAATACTGCATACCAATATTGTAGCAGCAACTTTTTTCAAACACTTTTAGGCCCACTCCCTTTGGGCTCACTAAAGAGTGTCAAATCATATTGGTGTCCTATGTGAAAAAACAATAAACTCAGTGAAAAAAGTCATTGAACTTACCTTCTATTAAAATATAATAATTAAAAATAAAATGGTACATGAGTTACAAAGATGAAAAGTTATGAGTAAATATACGTTAATGTCAATTAAGGACCATAATTTCTTAATTAAGGCAATGACTTTTTGGTTTGTAGCCACTTGATATTTAGTAACATAATGAGACAATTATTTGATATAAGCTCAAGGTCTTTATAATCCTTTTATAAATAATGGACAATACTCATGTATTATATGACAAATAATAAAATTTTAATTTTAATTATTCTCCTCTTATCTCTAAGAAAGTGGTATCAAGAGCTTAAGTTAGATCTTGAGAGTTGAGTGAAATACTTTGAGAGTTGAGAGATGGCAAATAATGTCATAAATATGTTCCAATTTTTATGTCTCACTAGAAAAAATTATGATAATTAGTGTCGACGTATGAAGACCTTACTAGGGTCTCAATATACTTGAGAGATTATGGAGAAAGGCTATGTTAAACCTCAAAACGAAAGTATTATGTTACAAAATGAGAAAGAGGCTTTGACGAAACAAAAGAAGAAAGATCGACAACAACTTGCCTTTATCCATCAATGCTTACATGAAACTATGTTTAAGGTAGTGTCTAATGTAATTACTTCTAAAAAAGCTTAAGAGATTTTAAAGACCCACTTTGAAGGAGTTGACAAGGTCAAAAAGGTGTGTTTACAAACTCTATAAGGAGAACTTGAATCTTTGTGTATGAAGTAATCCGAGCATATTTTAAATTTTGGCAATAAAGCAATGTTGTTGTAAAGCAAATGAAATGGTATGGAAAAAAAGGTGGAAGATGTTCACATAGTAAAAAAAAATTCTTTACTACAAAATTTTACTATGTAATATGGTTATTAAGGAGTTAAAATATTTAGACTCGATGTTTGTGAACTAATTGATGGGCTCACTTCAAGCCTAAGAAAAGAAATTTAAGTGAAGGCAAGAATAACCTTCAAAGAAACTCCTTAAAACTAAACCCTCTTTAAAAGAAAATAGAAAAAAAAATAAAGAGGAAAAGAACATGGTCGTGGCCAAAGAAGAGGAGGAAGAGGAGATTATTATAGTTTTGACAATTATGAAGATAGTCATCAATCCACTAGAGGTTGTGGAAGAAGAAGAAAGTAATTTTATTGGACTTCTAGTTCAATAAAAGTTGTGTATATCAAGATTACTTTTATTGAACTAGAAGTCCAATAAAATTAAGATAGAATATATTAAAGAGTTTTATTAACATTAGGGTTGAGGATAATGGACAAAATTTCTGGTCTATCAATTTAGCTCTAACGTTTGCACAATCCATAACCATCCGTTTATGACCAAAAAAAAATTCTTTCCAAAACCATTTTGGTGCCAATTGTTCCCTCCATATCATTCTTTGCAGTGATAAAAATACCTTAAGCCCTTGATGCTCATCAGCATTGTCAAAGAATGTTGTTGTAGAGCGACTAAATTAAATAAAGTTGTTAAAGCATTGAATATTAAAAAAAAAAAAGTTGTTTGGTGGTACAGAATTTAGGCTTTGTGCCTCCTAACAAGGTATATTTATTGTGTGTAAAATAATGTATTTTTTTAGGATATAATATGGGGTTATGTGCTCATTAGGGTCTCCTGTCATGGAAGAACAGAGCTTAATTACATATCGGACTCCAAACAAATCCTCGTAGATGGTAAGAGTAGAGGGACAAAATTGAAAGACTCTTTTGGGTAACTTAAAAGAGTCCAAATTGCTATTTTTTTCTATTTTTTTGCCAGAGGACTAATATGAAGGATTTTAAAGGAATAATATTTTCTTTAGGTTATGTCAGACTTGCAATGTGTTAGTTAATGTCATATTTCTGTTAAAGGACTTATTTGATCGATGTTCAAATACGTTGGTGTTTATTTATTATTGTATTTAATTAGTATAGGGGCTAATTTACTCAATTATGTAAAAATTAGGCATTTACTCTAAAGCAATTTAGATAAATAAATGCATTGAAAGAGACAGATCTAAGCGGGAAAACGAATTTGCTAAGTGATGACACGTTGATAGGAGTGTACTTCGTTATCTTATTAGTAGACAGATAATCATGCAAGGCGTAGTGATAATGTAACAAGATTTCGGAGAAAAAAAGATCAGAGCCGAAAAAAAAGAATAGAATCTAGCAAATTTCCTGATACTTCACAAGAAAAATAAAATGAGGATGGGATGAAGTGAGACCGAGATAATTACAGCTCTCCAAAAATTGCTTGACTTCCACTTTCCAAACAAAAGTTAAGGGGCAGCATCCAAGATGGAAAGGAAAAAGGATTTGCAGCAGCATATCAATACCCTGCATAAAATCTTCTCAGAGCTGCCACAATAAATGCATCGTTAGATTGAAGTGCATCTTTTGGGTAATTCCAGTCTCAGGTCGAGTCCTAGAGAGAGCTAGCACACTGCACATGTTTGAATATTATGTTCCAATCTTATCAAGGTTTTCAGAGACAGTTTTCATTCTAGGCCGGACCTCAGGGTCTCCTTCAGTGCATGCTAGTGCTACATGAAACACAGCCAGCACCTCTTTCTTGGCACGCACCTCTTGGAGAAGTGATGGATCAACCATTTCAGATAAAGGGCTTTCTTGATCAAACCCTTTTCTTACCCACCTTACCAAGTCAGGGACTTCCATAGAAGTTGATGTGGTGGGAGATGATTCTGGTGACCTCCCAGTTAGTATTTCGAGCAACACAACACCAAATGAGTACACATCCCATTTTTGGGTGGGTCTGCAGCCAGGGACACGAGCCTCAGGGGCTTTGTAATTGTTGTTGGTTCTGTCTTTTTGTGATGACTTCATGTAAGGAAGAGCTCCACCCATGAGTCCACCAGTGGAGGGGTTGTTGCCAGTGATGCTGATTAGGCGGTTAAGACCAAAATCAGAAATGTAGGGTTGGAAGTCATTGTCAAGTAGGATGTTGGAAGGTTTGATGTCACCATGGACGAATTTTCTTGGACTGCATTCATGGAGATAGGCCAAGCCCCTGGCTGTTCCTTTGGCGATTCTCAGCCTGGTGGACCATGAAAGGTTTGAAGATGGTTGGCCATTCCTCCCTGCAGCACATAGTCAAATGGGGTTTAGTAAAGCATTAGCTGGAGTGCAATTTTGTTAGTGACTGAAAATTTTAACTGGGAAGATTATTATTTCTAACATCTGATACAGGATGCAAATGCAGATTGCGTGATTTATTTTTTATTCCAACCACAATTTATGCTGACATAATTTCTTCTAATAATAAGAGTGAGACATAGGTGCAGTGGAAGCAAGGAAAAAGTAAGAAAACAATTCTAGTGGGACCTGGTTAAAGGATTCGAAGATGGTAGAGACTATGCTTCATAATCAAGAAAGTTTAGTCTAAAAGATTAAGATAAATCATGAAACAAAAGGAGCCCATTTTCATTAAGAAATTAAACTTTTATCCTGAATGAAAGGCATAAACATGCCCCTCCTTTACGGCCTACAAACATGACATTTTTTAGAGTAAGCTAGTTTCAAAACATATGGATATGGTGTGTAGCTAAAGATAGGTATGAAAGGGGATCCAAGTACTCAAAAAGGTCTTGAGAAAGTGTTGAAGAGTGAAGGAGGAACTTTGATATGCCTTCTGTTTTGGCAGTGATTGAAGCTCTACAAGACGAGAAGTTATTCTTGGTCCCCCACCAAAAGCGTGTGTCCTGCCACTCAATCCCCCAGACAGTCATGCCAGACCAACAGCCTTGTCTTTAGCAGGTGGCGTATACCCCCACCCCCCTACGTCATCAACGACGCAAAAGACAAACACCAAATCCAGTAACCCTCTTAATTTTTAAGCAAAGAAATCTAATCTAATTGTACAGTATCTTTTCTACGTATACTTGTATAAGTTTCAACTCATATTCATTTGGTAATTATACGAAAAGCATTTGGAACAAACACACATTCCAGAGCATTGTTAAATATCTTCTTATATCATCGGGATAAGTAAGAATTTAATGTAAGGATTCATATTCTTTTATGAAATTTCATGTTACATCTAGAATTGTTTTCTAAAATTAGAACAAAAACTATAAAATCCACAACAGTGAAGTTTTTATTTCTTTTCCTTACCAAAGATTTACGCTCACGTATTATCTCAAGAGCCCAAGTTGCCATGGACTGGACAAAATTCACGGATCATAGTAGGGTGTGTATATATACTTTTTAACTATAGAATGAAGAGTATATATACTTACATTGACCAAAAACAGAGTATACCATATATAAACGTGAGCCATTTCAAAGAGAGAGAGAGTTGACAAAGAACTCAACTAAAGTCTTATTCATTAAGTCTCCTAAATAAATTACTCCTGTAGGCAAAGGAATTAAACTAATTTATAAGCCACATGGGCAACTGAGTCCAAAATTACCATGCATGAATGACCAATCATTTTAAACTCATCCATGACATGTATCAAGCTCCAAATATCCACCTATCATTAACTAACTATTTCTTTTAACCTTATCACTGTTCTACCAACATCATTATTAGCACCATTTTCTGTCTTCAGATCCAATGCATGAACAAAACAAATCAACAAAAAATATCAAACAGAAAGAACTAACCTCTCAGGGCATTGGCCAAATTGCCATTGGAGATGAAATCACTGATGAGAAGCTTCTCGTCATGTGCCCAATAATAAGCCCTCAACCTCACAATATTAGGATGCCTCACCTTCCCAATAGCCTGAACCTCAGCAGCAAACTCCTTATACCTCTGTTCCCCACCTTCCCCTAACCTCCTCACAGCCACAGGCACCCCATTCCCCAACACCACCTTATACACAATCCCCAACCCACTCTTCCCCAACACATATGCTGAAGCTCTCAAAAGCTCATCAAGCTCAAAGCTCAAACCCTTATCAATCCTCACCAATTCTCCTTCCCCTTCCCCTTCTTCACCCCCTTCCACCTCATACTCATCATCCTCACTCTTGGAACCACTCACACATGGAAATCCACACACACACACATTCCCTTTTTCATCACCAAACTTGCTCTCCCCAACACAACTACAAGCATTAGAATCATCTTTTTTCTTCCAATAAACATAAACAATAACAAGTCCAATTAAAGCAACACCAACAGCATCAGCCACCGAAATTAAAATTATTAAACCGGGTCTTAGACCTGAACCCGGTTTACTCGGCTCGCGCGTGTCATCACGCGAACCGGGTGAAAAGTCCCGGTCTGAACCGGAACATGATTTTCTAAGAGGGAACCCACATAAATTGGGGTTTCCGAGGAACGCGGTAGGACCTTGGTTCGAAAACGACCCCGTTTGCGGAATTTCACCGCTGAAATTGTTGTTTCTGAGGTCGAAGCTAACCGTCGCCGGTAATTTCCCTAGAGACGACGGAACCCTACCGGAGAGGTGGTTGAACGAGAGGTTCAGCGTGCCGGAGAGGGAACCGAGGGTTCCGATGTCGTTAGGGATCGAACCTTCTAGGTCGTTCGCCGAGAGGTCGAGTTGAAGGAGGTTTCGCAATTCCGGCCACACGCCGGTAGGAATCTCGCCGGAAAATTTGTTCACGGCGAGAATGAGCCGTTGGAGGTTCTTGCAGTTTTTGAGGTCGCTAGGGATGTGGCCAGAGAAGGCATTGTCGGAGAGGTCGACGTTCTGGAGGCGTGGGAGGGTGCAGAGTGAGTGAGGGAAGGGACCGGAGAGGTTGTTGCGGTGGAGGAAGAGGCTGTGAAGCGCGGTGGCGTTGGAGAGTTGCACCGGGAGAACGCCGGAGAAGTCGTTGTCGTGGAGGTTGAGTCGCCGGAGAAAGCGAAGTGTGCCTAGCTCCGAGGGAATGTAACCGGCGAGGGACTTTCCAGCGAGGGAGATTCCGACCACGCGCGGCTCCGGCTGGCCGGAGATGTTAGCGCAGGAAATTCCAGACCAGGAGCAAGGGGTCAAGTCGCCGTCGTTCCAGTCGGAAAAGACGGCGGCGGCGGAGGATTGGTCGACGGCGGATTTTAGAGCGAGAAGGGCGAGGCCGTCGGAGGAGAGAGAAAGTGCGAAGCTGAGGAGAAAGTGAAATATTATAAGAATGAGAAAGAAAGAGAGTGTCATGGAGGATGTTGTGGTGTTTTGCGTTTTTGAACTGAATGGTGATTGGCACGACACCGTTTTGGGTAGAGGATGGTATTGTGCAGTTGCAGTGTGAAGAGATGGTTATGGGGGTTTTTGTTGTGAGGAGAGAAAGGAAAGAGGGTGTTGTTGTATTTATGAGAAAGAGCCTTCGTTTTTAATTTTGTGGGCCCCAATTCCCGCCAAAAATAGTGAGGGACTTGCTAACTGAAAGACTGATAGAGACAAAGAGTAAAGTGTAATGTAAGAAAAACAAAAGAGAGAGAGACACACACCATTCCATGCTTCTTTCTTCTTATCATTATTTTCTAAAATTGAGTATCCCAATCCAGTTTTTCTCATTTGTTCTTCATTTTTGTTTTTTCTTGTACTTTTTTATTTTATTCAAAAAATAACTAATGTGACTTCTTTTTTAAATAAGTTTCACACTGAAATTAAGTGATGAGATGCGTTTTGCTCAAATGCCTTTTGAACTCGGCATTTTTTAGGGATTTCATAATGAAATATATTGAAGAAGACTCTATTTTATTATTGGATGCATGCTAGAAGGTGAATGTGACTTGTATACCAACTAGTAACACAATGAAAGGTGTAAGTAAATCCATAAAACAAGGTTAATTTTATTTTTTTTCTAATCAGTATGCTACACATGTTTTCATGAGTTTCAATACACTTTATAAATTGTAGTATGAAGTGCATCCAAGTTTCTCAACTTGGGTCAACTTGGGTGTTACTTCATTATTTTATTAGATTGCACAATTTTCTCTAAATACATTTTTATAATAAAAATATCACTGTCTTTTTTTTTTACTGAATTCTCAATGTATGAATAAATTCATGAGTTAAATACGAAAATTGAATGGTATACATAGGTTGACAAGTATTTGTTTTCAGGTGAGTAACAAATAAACCAAATACTCATCTAAGTAAATCTCACTTGAATTTTGGAAAAATTGGATTTTATGAATAGCATACTTGAATTCAAATTTGAATACTTATATATTCATATTTATTTCAATATTATTAGTTGTAATTTTTGTTTTAAATCCGTTCTTGCAAATCTCTTAACTTGCTTTCAAACATGCACTGGTCTAATAAAACTAGTAAGAAAATTGGAAAGCAAATAAATGCAGTGATGCTACGCAACGTAGGTTGCTGGTAGTTTATGACTATATGATGCTTCTCTTAATGGTTTGTATCAGGCGCTAATAGTTTCAAAATGAGCTATTTAGCTCCATTCGGATTTTGAGTTCCATGAAGCTGAACCAAAAAAAAAAATCTTGTTTTTACTAATTTAGACTTAAAATTTAAAAACTCAAACACTATTTTAATAAACTTAATTGAACCAGCTCATATTGATAATAAACGATGTTTTGAGAATTTACATAATTGATCTAATCTTACCTTGTATTTAGAAATTAAAGTAGATTAGCTAAGTTAATTTAATAATCTAAATAAGTTTATTCTATTTAATAATTTTAAAATATAAATTTAATATATTATTTGTTATAAATTTTTTATTAAGTTTAACTTAACTTTTTTAAAATATTATTTTGACATATTAGTATTTTTAATAGTTTACTTCATTAATACTTTTATGAATCATCAAACTTATTTATAAATAAGATATCAAACCATATAAATTAGTCTCTATCTAAAAATGTCTCAGAATATATATCTAATATTATAAAGTTTAAGGGTTTATTTATTTAAAATTTAATCCATTTAATGTAATATTATAAATATATTATGATTTATATATAAAATTTATTTTATATATAAATATAAATTAATAAACTTTAAATAGACAACTTTAACAAGTTTAATAAAAAAAAAATTAAACTCAAATCTAATTTATTTAATTAATTAAATTTTTTAAAAAATTTGAATTTAGCCTATTACTAAAATAGATTAGGTCAGGTTGAACTTTAAGACCAAGCCAAAAGCCCTACTGCATGACCTACTTCCATTCCTAAATGCCTTACCAACAGTGTGGTCTTTATTTACTGCTAGGTCATATCATCTTACAAGTGTCCGATGTGTTACATATGTTATAAGTTGCCTTTATATTTTGAACTTGCTTCATCTTTTAGATAGAAGGATCTTTGTTAACTGTTTGGATGATTTGTGCTTGTATCATCTTATAGATGGTATTTGTCTTCCTTGACAATTTGGATGGTTGGTTCTTGTATCATCCCCTAAATATACTAAAACAGTTGATATGACCAATTAGTAATGCTAAACAATTTATTTTAAATAAAATAATAATAATTCATTCATCAAAACTTATACCTTTTGTCTTTTTCAAAAAAATTTATCTTTAACACCATATATAGGGAGTTTCTTAATTTTCTACCTTCGAAAGCGTGTAAAGCAGGAGCGTCTAATGTAAAAGCGTCCTACTCCTAAGTATCTGTGTGAATTCTTTGGTTTGAAGTGTCAGTGTTTAGAGCACTTGTTGAAGAACTAACTGTTGACCTCTGCCATATTCAGACTGAAGCAATCAACTTAATCTATTTTTAATCATCTATCATCTTTGAGTCGTTGACTTGTCTGAAGTGTCTGTTCTAGAATTGTTCAGTGTCGAATTTAAAGAGACCAAAGTCAAGTCACTTAAATAGGTCGTAATTCTATCGTCATAAGTCCAATTTGCATGAGACATGCACTCACTTTGTTATAAATGTATAATAATTACAAAAATAAAAAATAGGAGGTGGTTCCTAAGTATAAATAATACATTTAGCATGGACTTTTTAGTAGATTTTTAGGTTAAGAACTTCTTGTGCTATGAGATAAAACATATACTTTTGAATTTCAAAGATTTTATTTTTAATGGTTGTTTCAATACGATATCTCTGCTCTCTTCTTTTCAACTATGACCACCCATTTTGCAAGTGAGATTTCCGTTGACCCAGGGCTGATCAGACATGGAATTTATTCTGAGAGTTGTGGTGATGGACTAACGGATTGATCGATCTAAAGTTTATTCAACTCTAAACTAACATAAATTAATTAGGAATTGAGATCTTAATTATTGATTATCTCTTGTTAATTGAATCCTAAGCGATTGCCTAGTTTAATTCCATGTATTAACAAAGTATACTGTTTTGAACATAAATATTTTTATATCGATGAAGTCTACCCTTTAATTCTTAGTTTGATATTTTTATTAATTAAACTTTCTTACGTTGCTTTTCTTTGCGATTCATCTTTAATATTCTGTTCTTGTGACAAATGAAACCCCCCCCCCCCCTTTTTTTTTTAAATTTCCTAATTTCACTGAGAAACTCTCAGTGTTCCTTGGAAAATGACCTAAGTTGTACCCTTTACCACATTTTAGTGGTAGAACCTAGAAATTATTTTTGCCAGACGGAATGGCACATTTTTAACAATCGTCACTAAGCTTAAAGAAAAATTTTGGTAGATGGCATAAAAATAAGGACGATAATAAATTCCAGGGCATTATAATCACTTTTCGGTTATCATGGACTCCTATTTTTATGACATTTCGCACTATACTCTAGTAGTCTACTAGTGATTAGTGCAAATCCCTTTCTACAACCAACCACTACTTTCTCACTCATAATGGCAGGCTCATACCATCATCAACAGTCCTTTTACAACTTACGTCTCAGTGCAATTACAGTCATTTGAAATTGTTACTCCACAAAATGAGTAAATAGACAAAAAAAAAAAACTAAAAGTGAAATCATAAAATACAATTCCATCTACGTCTCAATCATTCAAAACAAACTTAGAAGCTAAAAAAGCCACATAGATTAACACAATTTCTTTCGGCATTTCCTGTGCAAAAAAAAAACTTCAGTAATGATTTCTACCAGCTGAAGACAAGAACTTTAGAAAAGTTCTCGGTATCTTCTTTTATCTTTCTAAATAAAGCACCTTAAATCCTCCCCGGCATACTTCTATATACAGCGGACCCGAATTCTCTCTAGTTTGCACATGAATAGAACATTCAATCCAATTTTTGGTTAACTGAAATTTTACTTGTTTAAGTAAAAATTAAAAAAATAAAAAAAAATTATGCAAAATTCACTTAAATAAATGTTTTTTATAAAATTAGATTAAGCGAATTTTATGGCTTAAGCAAATTTTGCATTTTTCTTTGAGTCTTTTGTTCTCCCTCTTCTCTTTCATGCTTAATATTTCTTCTCCAACATTCATATTCAACTCTTTTCGTTTCTCTCATATATAACTTTTCTCTTCTTCCCTTTACTCCTCCTTCTCCCACTCTATCCCACCCCACTTTCATCCTATACTCAACTTTCCTTTTTTCTACTCCCATACTCATTTTTCCCTCTTTTCTCCACACTCACCTTATTTGATGAGAAGAATATTTTTTTTATGATTTTCAACTTGTAAATGGGATTGGTCCTAAATAATATTTTAGAATTTGTATGTTTACAATAAAAGACATGAATTATCTACTAAATGCTCTGGTTGAATCTCTTTCCATTATGTGAAAAAATTTCAAATATTTTGCATGCATAGTAATGACATTTTATGTAGTTGAAGCTTGACAACATGAGACATCTATTCTAATGGAACAAGGGGGTGAAGAGGGAGTTAAGGAAAGAGGAGAGAATTGAGTATGAGAGTAGGATGAAGAAAGTTGAATATGAATATTCAAGTATTACGCATAAAGAAAAAGAGAGAAGGTAAAAGATTAAGAGAGTAAAACGCAAAATTCGCTGAAGTCATAAAATTCAGTTAAACTAATTTTACAAAATTTGCTTAAACAAAAAAAATTCATTTAAACGAATTTGACATAAAAATTGTCTGTTTTCCCGATTTTCGCTTAAGCAAGTAAAATTATATTTAAGCAAAAATTGGACTGGACATTCAGTTTCTATGCAAAATGGAGAGAATCTAGGATACAACAAAAGAAAAAAAATGCAATTTATTCAATTTTAAATCCAATTACTTCTTATTAAAAACCAAGAATAACTACAAGTAGCATTTTAAAAACCAGACTAGCCAATTCATTCAATTTTAAATCCAATTACTTATTATTACATTGTCTGGCTCAACCCCAGCTTAAACATTGAAGAAATGAAACCTTGATCTGAAAAGTTTGATTGATTTTGTAACACCTCAAATTTAATTTCAATAAATAACAATTTTCACAAATTTTTGAAATAATAAGATTTCCATTTTTAATTCAAGTTTCATTAACCATTTCAAATAAAAAAAAAAGTTACAAATTATATCAAACAGTTGTTACAGTACTTATTCAAATACAACAGTTTTTCAAAAATAATATTCTAAATCCTATAGCAGTTTCATCCACCCCTTCACTGAGTCTGGTGCTGATCGTCTTGATTTCTTGAAAAATAAATGTAAGGGTGAGTACTCTACATTACCAAAACACAATCAAACATAGAGTCTCACCTTTAATTCATTTCCAATACATTTATACAGATATAACACAAACAACATCATTATCCAACACATTTCAATTTGAACATCAATGCACTCACGGCACCAGCAACACTTCACATTCAAAATTACAATTGATAACAATCATGTGCACACGCACACTAGCCACGTCACTGTAATCACGAATTTTCACTATGAATGGTCACCGGTTACCCCCGCCTCACGGATACCACGTGGGCAGTCACGAGTCGCTCAGTAAAAGTAGTGATCAGAGGTCTAGTCAGGAATAAGGTGTGTGGCCCGTGGTGCATCTGTTCCACAGTCGATGTCACCACCACTATCTCCTCCCCAAGGTATTTCTACCGTCCTCATCCCCACACCCCCAGTATATCGTTGAACCATTCATAGCACATTACAACGGCACAAACACGCCCTATCTACATACATTTCATTCACACACGCAATAATTATGCTCACACATGGCACACAACCTATATTACATTCAAATACACGGCACTAGGCCAACATTCATTTTACATTACACGGCGCATAGCCAACATTGATCTATGTTACACGGCCCTTCGGCCTACATTTGTAGGCAATATTCAGTCTATCATGCAACATCTAGCATACAATTCACATTCATCTATTTCGGGTAAACACACGCAATATTCACATCTCACGGCGCATGGCCCTCATCACAATTCTCAATCAACTTTCATTCTCTACATATTTTCTACCTTCTAACTCAACCACAACTCCATATTCAATCAATTACACATAAAAAGAGTAGGGTAGAGTCCCCTTTTACCTTGGATTGAAGACTCACACGCTAAATCCACCAAGAAGTGTTTCCCCTCATGAATTTCGGCCAAAAACACATTGAAGAACTCCATGAGAACCCAAAGAAACCCAGAAACAGAGAAAAGGATATGAGAAATGAAACCCTAACCATTAAAACTCACCTCCAAGCGTTCCCCACACGGATTCAACTTTCAATCGAACTCCCGAACGGCTTTGGAGGTAATTAATCGGTGGAATAGGGCTCTGAGAACGAGAGAATCAAAGGAATTTCGAAGGGAGAGGGAGAAATAACTCTCCTCGAACCCTAACCCCCTTTAAATCTTTTTATGGTTGCGAAACTCCCTCGCTGCAGCGACACGCCCTCACGCTGCAGCGAAAATATCAGACAAAATTACACCTTGGTTTTTGCATAATCTCGCTACAGCGAGACTACACCCAGAAATGCACCCTAAACTGTCGCTACAACGAGAAGGCGACAGTTTTAGTCCTTCCTCCCAGGGCCCTCTCGCTGCAGCGAGAACAGCCCAGTTTCACGCCCTGCACTTAGGCACTTAGCCCATTTCAACCCTATCCAGTCATGCATACACACATCCATATACTTAATACACATAAACATCATTACCAAGTAAATCAACACACACACACACACACACACACACATATATATATATATATGCAAATTGAAATAAATTTAATACATAGAAACTAGAACGGCAGTATAACCAACACAAATCTAGTAGAGGAAGAAGAGAAGAAAGTTGGACGACAGTAATCCAAACAGAATCGGCTAAGAGGGAGAAAAGAGAAAAATAATTTGAAACAACAAACTTTTATTAAAACTTGAAGAAAAACTTACAAAGATATTATCTCAGAGCATTTCTCTCTAGTTTATCTCTCTAAAATTGCTTAATGAAAAGGTGCCTCACAACATGGTAGAGGACTCCTTAAATAAAAAATTATAAATACTATTTCTACAATTTCAGTTGATAACTAGAACTATTCCTTACAGAATAAGTCATAATTTTTTAATATCTATTCGGAAACAAGTATCTTCATTTTGATAGATATCATCAATATTTGTTTTGGAATCTTGTTTTGCAGAAGATTCAGCTTCATCTTGATTTAGAAGAAAAAGCACTTCTTTCAAATTTTTCTTCATTTTTTCTTTGGAATCACAGCCTAACACTATTGTTCAATCATTATATAAAACAATTACCCAATATGATACCAGTAAAACTGCTATTCTTCAAAAAGACAAGCAAACACAAAAGCCAACTCAAAACTCATTCCATTACCTAATTAAAGAAAAAATTTCCTCAATAATCCAGATGAAATATGAATTTTGGAATTATATATATATATATTAAATAACAATAATTAATATTACAAAATTCAGAGCGTTACAGATTCAATCTCTTGTTCAGGAAATCATAGTACTATATTCCCCCAATCCCCTAACAAACCATGAAAGTCAGTAAGCAACACTGCTTCACCAGAGCGGTTTTAAAGGGACACTATAACACCATCATCTTTGTAAGGGTAATATTCTTTTATCGAAGTCAAAATTCAAGATACATAAGCATTTGCATGATTAATATAAGATTAATAATTGCATCAAAAAAGTCAGTAAAGCCAGTCTCTTCATATATTATCATTTCATCATAACGAAGTTTGCCTTGAGAGCTAGCATTGCGCATTCATTATCTGAATCAGCCGTTCACTAAGGTTAGTACTGCACCTTCATAGCTTTTGGATCACTCTGCTACACCCCAAAACAAATTTTATCCATGACCTCCTCCCAGCTTTCAACCTTCCCTGCCATGGCAACAAATTTTGGGTCCTCAATTTTTATTTACAGGGCCATTTTCAGGTTGTGAATAGAAGATAAAATGTATGTTTAGCATGATTGGAAACTTGGAACCAAATTCCAACATATTTAAAACTCATAATGACATAGAAGCTACAACTAATAGTGTTGGAGTAAACGTAAATACATAACTATTAAAACATGATTCCAAACACACTCGTTAAAAGAAGTTACTCTCCGAAATTCTTCTGCATCAGTTTCCCATTCCAGAGTGAAAGTTGAGGCTATTCTTTTTTTGAAGAAACTAGACGTAAAAATCATACAGATAATGCATGTAATGATGTTATTATTGAAATAATAAATCTGCTGCCAAAATTTATAACATAATCTGAGAATAAATCCCCCTTTAGACCATGCTACACTACAATCCATCCAACACAGAACTTCATGTGACACTACAATAAGTGACAATACAATCCAAAGCAGACTAGACAGCACCTAGTAAAACTTCATGTGAAATTGCAGCAGACTGATTTTAACCTGTAAAGATACAAGCTAATCAATTTTAGAACAAACCATATCAAAATTTTTCATCATAAAAACTTGCAACAATCTCAGAATGCAGAACAAAGGAGGGTTCAAATTTCTCCTAAGATGATAATAACTGCAGCAAGAAATGTAAATTCTACTATTTTACAAACAAAACAGCATAATTCAAGATGCAAAAGCAGGTCACAAAATTATAATTGGCAGTTACTCTAAATTTAAAGTATCAATATTCAATATCATATACTACACTTGTCAACTAAATGCATTCGAATAATGTGTACAACCAGCCACATATGATCAAAATTTTCAACATAAATGTCCTTAAAACAGTAATGCGATTAAGGTTGCAAGACTATCAACTCATCCAGCTAAATTTTATTTCCAGTTTCACATCATACCAACAGCTAAAACTTGCGTAGATCTGACAAAATATTTTAATACCTTGAGCCAATTCAGGAAGCAGGAGCTTCAGTGCTGGACCTCGCCTTATCAAATGCTGGCATGGAGGGTGGAACATATATGCGCGCCTTCTTGAGAATTTCTGCAACCACCCAATGTTTACGCTTGCTCAAAGGCCTAGAAGGATCCAGTCGAACCTTAAACAAGAATCATAAAACCAATCACTTATTGAGCCATTTCCCAAAACCAAGACTAGAACCAAACATGGCAAGTAAAATACACAAGAATCAAACTCGACATGTTCACGATACTAACTCGGTCACCAATGTTACAACTATTTTGCTCATCATGAGCCATAAATTTTGAAGTGCGCTTGATATATCGGTTGTACACTTTGTGGAAGAATAGTCTATCCACTGCCACCACCACCGATTTCTGCATCTTATTTGAAACCACCATTCCCACCACTTGCTTCATCTTCTCTCCCAACTCACAATCCCTAAATCAGATTTAAACAAACAATTACAACATAATAGTGTCAAAATAACACCATTAATGTCACAATATGATATCTAAATACCCTTGTACTTATAATAAAATTATTTGCCATGTCTTAGCCTAAATGATTACCAGTTATAGATTACAGCATGAGAACAAAGTAATTAAGAGATCCAGATTACCAATTACAGCATGATACTCAAAATTAAAATAATAAAGATAAATTGCTGTGAACAAGGTATAATGAGAACAAAACATAAAAATAAACTGAAAACAAAACTAAGGTCGACATAAATTAGTGGGAAAATAGGTCAGAAAATAGAGAATGAGTGTACACCTCTCACCTGGCAGAGAGCCAGAGATAGAATCGCTAAGCACACAAAGCAGATTCAGAAAAGCAGAGGCAGAACCATTCACAGTGGACTTGCATTCACGGTGAGAAAGAGTTGGATGTTAGGGATCTGTGATGTGTTGCCGTGGGGAACTTTGGGAATTTTTCCATTCGTATATTTTTCCTTTTTATTTTTCGGTTCATGAAATGATTTTGGGTTACTCAGTAATTGTAGGCTTGTTTGTTTCGAATTTATAAAATTCATTCTTGTATTTTTAATAAAAAAATATAGATATTAATAAAAATGTATATTAAATACAAATTTATCTACCTATCTTAATTATATTGAACAACTTTAAATTGATTTTATTAAAATTATTTTTATTTAATTGTAAATAATAAATTCATTATATCCCCCTTTCTTCAGGTGGATTAATGTCTGTGAGGTTATACAGTTATGAATGAATAATAGTCACACAAACAGGTCACTTAATTAATTAATTGGATAATGTTATTCAGAGTCTTTTTATTTATTATTATTATATAATTTAAAATTAAATTTTATATTTTAAAATTTAAAAACCTTGTTTATAAACTTTAAACAAGTTGGCGTTGGTCCAGTAAGTTTAAAAGACTTGTTAAAAATTTTAAACCTAATTATTTAATCAAAATGGCTTTTTTAAATATCTTAATTTTTTTATTAAATAAGTTGGGTTAAATTAACCTTTACATAGGTTAACTATTGGTCTCTCAGGGACAGTTTGGCTTATTCTTACCGTTGCTTAAACAGCAAAACTCAACCTTTTTAATCCACTAAATATACAAAGGTTGGAGAACCACTTTCTCTACCATCATACCAAGTCATCATCTTATATGCTTCTATAGATTTATGTTGTCATTTGCTATAGAATGCTATAGAATGCAGGAAGCATATAAGGGAGTAATTGCCGTTGAGCTTCATATTTCATGGAATGTCTCAAAGTAAATTGATTTCCAATTGATGCAAAAGCTAACTATGGTAGCATCATATTAGAAACAAGTCTGAATCCTTAATTGTGTTTCTAAAAGAGTTATCAAACAAAACAAAATTGTGTTTCAACATATAAGACATGTCTCCACAGTTTTAGAAAATAGTAAGGTTATGTAAAAGCATAAGTCAGTTACAGCGAGGCACTGATTATTTTGCATAACATACTATTAACACGGATTATTAACACGTCTCCAAGGATTGAACCAGGGTAGGAAACCAAGGATTGGGGAACAGGAACAACATAGACATAATATATTGTTCTTTCAAAAATAGAATAATTTAGATGAACAGAACTCATATTGTTCCAGAATTCAGAATAGAATAATTCTGAAACAGAATTCAGTATGATCCAACGTTTAACTTGTACTAGGTTTTGATGAACCTGTGGATCACAATGTTCTTTCCATCCATATAGCATAATTTATCTGTTTTCTACATTTTCATTATTTTAAGAGCCAAGTGAGTAGAGCGACACTGACAGATTTGTTCAGAAATAATGATCAAGCTCTTTTTTCACAACAAAACACAAAATTTGCCAAAAAAATTTAGATTCAACCCAAAGCTTAAAACCACTTAGTAGTCTAAGATTTCATGATCTCATTATTGCGCCAAAAAGAACATGTGTCCAGTATCCACCACCACACAATCAAAATCCTATTCTGAATTTGAAAAACTCTCGGCAAATTTAAATATTCTCTTATTAATCCCCAAAATTTTCAAAATCTGCAAATTCAACCTTCTTAGTCCATTCAAATCAACAAAAAATTATTAAAAAGCTTAGTCAATCCCAAATAACAAAATTCAGAGAGTAAGGGGCAAAAGACAATTCAGAGGCTATTTTGAAATTATTATTGTGCAATATGAGCTGCTAATATTCACCTAGGGCTGCTAATAAACCAGACTGCTAATACACATATAGTGGAAAAGACAATTCAGAAATCACAGCTACAAGGAACATATTATTTTGCATATTCAGAAATTGCAAGATATGGAAAGAAAAAGCTCGGAGGAAAGAATCAATCAGGTCAACATATTTTCATCATTTCATGATACATGTAAATAGCCCAGTTCTACAACTTACAGCTACTACAACAGGTACGCATATAACTTTGTTCTCCCATTTAAACATGACCAAAATGAAAATTTGAACAAACCTCAGTTCCAACAGGGTACGGTTCTTCCACAAGTCCTACAGAATTCAAATTCACAAACATTATCTTCTATCATTAACCCAAAAATAAAATAAAATCAACATAGTTATCACAGCGACTTCCAAGTATGGCTAGAAACAAAAACAAAAGGAAAGTGAAACAATGAATCAACCATTCAGAGTGGTTCGTTTCTCCCCAATAAATAAAAGGTTCGATTCCATTATTCTTCACATGGTTTCTAGTTCGTTGCATAGTAAAAACCAGAAGCGGTTAGAATTATAATATGATTGGGATTAAGATTCATCACACCAGAAAACACCTTAGGGCCTAACTACTTTTCTTAATAAGAATAGGTCAGGGCAGGATGGGTTACTTCAGGACTGGCCTTTGGGCTAAAGTCCTATGGGCTAAAGTCCTATTTGACAGCACCACTCGGGGGCATCATTACTTTTGGACACCAAATTCCCACGATACAGCTCCCTTCCTTTCTTAGGTCTGGAACAATCTAAACTAACAAGATAGTCTCTTTGTTCACCCACACCAAATAATAATAATAACAACAACAACAATGCAAATAACTAGTATCATCTAAATCAATCATTGCAACTAAGCAACAAGAGCACATAGAAATTCAACATTCAACTTTTAACATATCTCGCCAAGTGTATGTGTCTAAGAGAGATAAATATTACAACATAAGTCACAGCATGGTAAGGGTTTGATTTGGGGGAAAAAATATCGCCCCAAAGCAATTTTGTTTAAGGTTGATCAGTTTCGGCCTTGTCTTTTACTTTTTAAGGGGAAAAGAAGTAATTTATAACAAATTAGTTAATAAAATGGAGTAGTTCAGAACATTATACAAGTCAAAAAAGGTACAAGTAACAACCTTCATAATCACACAGATCAAATTTTAAACCATTCAGAAGAAAAATCTATGGTGCAGTATAACAATAAAGTTTCAGAGCAATGTGGAAGAAAATCACCTATTTGCGGGGAAGACAGAGAGATAAAGCAGAACTTGAAAGCAGAAAATAAAAAACTCACACGAAATTGGAGAAAGAGGTGGAGCAGCGACGGATTGGAGAGTAGAAACAAAGTGAGGAGTGTAAAGTCACTAATTTAAACCTTAAAATTGTGAATTTTCTTCACAGTATTTAGCCGAAGAACAAAGCTGGTGCGGCGCTTCAATTCTCGGGAATGCCAAGGGAAACTCTAAACCTTGAAAAGGTTAAAACTTATTTCTCACTTTTATTTTTTTTAAGTCACCCTATTAATTTTTTGTAATTTTATGTTTTAAAATTTGATAAGCTTTTAGTATGGATACAGATCTACTACTGATAAAAAAAAATTATAATAATTTATATAAATACTTTTACAAATGTTTTAGTAAAAAAATTAGAATGATATTATAAAATTATATACAAAGTTCCAACACTCTTCCCTTAAAATTTCACCTTAAAAAAGTTGCAGGAATAAGTATTCTGAAATATTCCAAAAGTATATATGTCAATTTAAAAATATATAATATAGGAGAAAAGGATTTAAATAAAATTAAATAATAAATTTTAATACCAAATAAAAATAAAAAATTATACTGAATTAACAAAAATAACTTTATTTAACGAAATACAAAATAAATTAAATTTTAACTGTTGTAATTGGCAATGTTATATATTAATCATTCTCTTTGTAATATTTTCTCTTTATATTATTAAAATGTTTAAAGAAATGTTTAAAAGAATATAGCAACAATTTATGATTTTTATAAATATATTATTTATTAGAATAATTTTTTGTATAACTTATTAAATAAGTCTTTTAATTTATTTTAAAAAAATTATCATTCAAATATATAATATAAATTATCATGTGAAAAATTATTAAATAAATATTTAATTAAATTATAATATATCTTAAATTATACTTCTCTCGACTAAGAGTTAAGTATTATTATACTTGACTTCATGTCATTACGATTTTTGACATGAAGAATAATTAATTTTAAAATTTTATTGTCAAAATTGTTACTTTAGATACAATATATTCAATTTATAAGGGAGAATGCATATTTTGAATGAAAAAATTTTAAACACTTCAAAGAATGGAAGTACGAGTACAATGAAAATATAACGTACTCATTATCATATAATATGTACTTAAATCAAATACATGAACATAGTAAATTCTAAGAAATACAATAAGCCACACTACACTAAGCTGAGTTAAGTTTGAACTGTAATTAGTAACTATAATAATTGTGTATTTATTACACGGATTTGTATGAGTATATTTATATTATTTTATTATTTAATTTAATTTTTAAAAAGTATAATTTAAATATAAAAAATGATTATTTAGCAAATAATTAATTTTAATGTGAAAAAATTTAAAAAGTAAAAAAATTACTTTTAAAATAAATTATATATATAAATAAATATAACAGTTAAATTTAATTTATATTTTAAATGTATATAAAATATTAATATATAAATAAAATAATTATTATTAAATTTTAATAAATTTTATAAATATATTATTATTTTATTTTCTGATATTTAATAGCATTTAAATAATTTAAATTATTGTAATTAATTACTTTTAATTTAAAAATTTTAAACATATGATCATTATTATACTATTTAATAACAAATAAAATATTGCAATAAAATTATCAAATATAAAATTTAAATTATTATTAATTAAAATAATTTTTTTTTATTTATCATGAAAAATTATTATCTATATTAATTAATTACAATATGTAGATAAGTATAAATTATGAGTCACAAATACAATTTAAACAAATAATATATTAATAATAAAATCTATATTAAGTGATCATATATATAATAATGACAAAATAAGAATGATATATATAATAATATAATATTATATTTAGTATTTGCTAAAAAAATTAGTTTTAAAATTTTTATTTTTTATCTAGAAAATTTTTTTTATTAATTTATTAGAAATGAACAACTTATTTAAAAGAAATTAGTTTTTGAAACTTAATTTAAAGTTATTAACATATTCAGTTAAAATATTAATTACCATATAGACTTATTATATCTGCAAATTTTATCCATAAAAAATCTAATTTATTAGTTTTTATCCCATCCTGTTTATTAAAAAATCCTTAAATATTTAAAAGAAAAGGGATACCGTATACTATAAGAAAAGGAAAACAGTATTCTAAAACAATAAATTCTTTATATTGTAAGCAACATTTTTCAATTTTATAGACTAACAAAATGATGTGTTTAAATGAAACACCTTCGAAACCAGCCAAACAACCCAATTAATGTTGATTCCAAGCCTAAATCTTCAGCACCTAAAACATTTAACCTTATTAGATCCCATCCCAACAGTAGAAAATCTTTACATATTTATATTAATTACAAGTCTAAATATATGTATATATAATAACAAATTTATTTAATCTCTTGTATCTTTTAAAATTCCTCTCTTCCATTTTTTTTCCTTCCCTAAATTGTTTTTCATTCTTTCTTTTATTCAAACCAAATAACGCATAAACTAAGCCTTGAAACCAATTTTCAACTTTCAATAAGATGAAAAGAGTTGTCAGAACAAGTAGCAGCAACAGCAGGTATAGAAAGTTTATGACGAAATAACGCAAATTAATAATTATATTTAATTATAAAAAAGCGTATCATAACTGTCATAACTGTTATAAAATAATCAGAAGTTAATAATTTTAATTTTTATTATTTATATTATATTTATCATTATTACATTAAAAATATTATATATATATATATATATATATATATATGACATGAGATTTTATTATTTTTCAATTATTTTAAAAATTTATTTATAAATATATTTTTTTATATAAAAGGGCTAGACCCAAAACAAACTAGGGACCAATCCTAAAAAACCAAATGCTCAGAGTCCAAACATAAGAAAGGACAATGGGGAGAAAGGGCAACATCAAAACAAGTAAAATGTAAGCATTCTTTCAAACCAATTTTAGTTAACCTATCAGTACAACTATTAGTTTCCCTGAATACATGATTGATTCTAATGAATTTACCATACTTCAATAAGTTCCTAATTATAGAAGATAAAGCTAGTGTTGAATGTGCAGGATTAGATGGATAACTTTCTTGAAGTCACATTCCACCTAAATAGTGTGAATCTCTTTAGTAATAACCAGCTGCAAGTTAAGGCAAGTTCCCTAAAGTTCACCCATTATTGGATTGCAACTATCCAACTTGCTACTTGAAACAAATGTTTCACTACTTTCCACTTCAGCTGCACTTTGGAAGGAGGATTCCATTTTATTCTAGGCTACTCATGGATAGTCTAGGCAAGACTTTTATTTATAAATTTTAAAATATGAACATATATGATATGTTAACTTCATGGTCTAATTATATATAATCTAAATTTATACTATTATATGTTGGATTAGATAGTAAAATATTGATAAATTTAGTAATTTAATTAGAGAAAAATAAAATATAATACATAATACCACTTAAAAATAATGTAATTTTATGTCTACCTAACAACTTAAGATAAAGTACCTAATATAATTTACAGAATAAAATAAAAATATGAACATAAAAATTATATGTACTTACTTGGATAGATAATTCTATAGATTTGACATGACTATAAAATACAAAAATAAAGTAAGATGGTAGAAAGAATTGTTGACAAATTCTTTAATTTTGTTTAAAAATTACTTACATAGATAGAGATAGAAATGAAAAAACAATGTAATAAAAGTTGTCTTTTCATCTATATCATATTTTATTTGTCTTTTTATTAGAAAAATTATTTAATAATATATAATACAAAACAATAATTTTATAAGTATGTGTAATTTTTTATTTCAAATATATTAAATTTTTAATGTAAATTTTTAAACATAAAATATAATAAACTAATTAATAAAACTATTTAAATCATTATCATTCAAATTTAAATAAGACCTGAAGTAACAGTACAATTTTTTTCAATAAAATTATAACTTGAGAGTTTGGTTTAATTTTTGTGATATTATTTCTGCACAATTTTATTTTATTTTATTTTATTTTATTTTATTTTTGTTTTCAACATTTTATGGTAAGTTTTTCCATTTTTTATAATAAATTTTAACAATTTTTTATTAAATACAATTCATAGTCAATTTCTTATTTCCGTTTTTATCATTGTATAACCCTCAACATAAAATTATTATATATAATCGATTCTAATAAAGTTTCTTTAAATAAAATTCAGAAATAATAATTATAATTTAAATTCTTAAATAATGCAAAATATTATAATCAATTTAATACTTTTTTATTTAATGCAATTCATAATCAATAAATATTTACTAAATGCAATCTCATACAAATAAATATTTTCGAGTTAATTGTAGTCACTAGTCTCCTGGGAAATTTGGGTAGATAAAAAGCAAGTGTAAAGTGAAACAGTGTGTAACATTTTCAGGTCTTGTGGGGAAAAACTAGATAAGCTTGTTTCAACAAGGCCCAACATCACCAAATTGGTTATATTACCAAGCTCTTTTGTAATGGGCCTTAGCAATTCAATTTTCTACCAGTTCTTATCACCATTAGGTTCCTCAGGTTGCCAATGGCGTTCAGAATTTCATCTCTAAGTTTATTGTAATAGAAGATCATGCCCTCTAATAGCATGTTAGATTCATATTTAAATGAATATGAATTCACCTTTTAATTATTATCATTAATTATAATTTTACATTAAATTTCTAGTTACAAGCTTTTCAACATGTTTCTAAATAGCATTTGGCAAGGCAAGCTACATCGTGGTTCATTGATCAATGTTGTGTGCCCGTCATTTGCAAAGTTATTTTTGTTCGATAACTCATAACATGAGAGTACGATCTACAAAGACTTTATCCGTAGACTAAACTGTGAATATTAAAAATTTACAATTATACCCTTTCTATAAATTTATATTTTTAACCCTTGTCTAGGTTGCAAGTCATTAACCACTTATTTATTTTTAAATGCATGGCTCACATTGTTTGATGCATCCATACCATTTTCTTTTTGTGATAAATTAAAGTCAAAACTGAAAATGATAGTGATTCTTAAGCCTTAAGCAACTGTACAAGCTTTGAATAGGTGTGCTAACACTTCTTTTTTTTAATAGGTGTTTATAAGCATCGGTTAATTAAGAGCATTAAGTAATGACTGTATTATCATATTTTCTAAATTATTTTAAAAATATTTTTCAATAATTTTGATCTCCATAATATAATAATTTTCAATAAAAAAAATTTTTTCAATGTTCATGGATATTTATCAAAAAGGTCTTATTGATCAGTGTCTTAAGAATAATGGCGAAGGAATCAACAAGTAATAATTTTTGTATTGAAAACCATATTAAAATACTATAAAAATCATGAGGATGGATGTATTTTTATACTTTTTAATAAAAATTATTTGAATTCTTTAATTAGTATTTTTAAGATACTAATTATTATTTTTCTTATAAAAAACCACACTCTTTTAAGCTGGCAATTTACAAGTTGATAAGTTCTTTCACGGATAAGGGTATATGTTTCAATTCTGCTTTCACAATTTTTTTTTCCTCCAAGTGCAGTGTGTACTTGTATTGTTGCTGTTCTTATAAAATATAAAGGTTGAAGAAAGGAAAAATTATCTATCAAGCTAATTAAGATAGTGTTTATGCGTGTTCAAAGGGCACAAGTTTTCTATATCAATATTTCAAATAGAGAGGTAGTTAAGTGGCTGTTGGATCAAAATATTTCAAGAATTCAAGCATACAAGTAATAAAGGATATACTATAAAGAGGAAAAGTCCATAATGTAATAGTTTTATAATAAAAAATTGGTTAAGAAAACATTTTTTATATATTTTTTTAATATAACTTATACTATTTAGTAAAATTTATGTGACTCATTAAATTAAAGATAAAATGAATTAAATAAGGATTAAGATTGATTCATATCATTAAATTAATAATAAAACTAAATAATGCGTGTTGTCAATAATAGATCTTAACTATCTATCTATATCTATATATAAAATTAATTATATATCTACTTATAATTTTATGCATTAAAACTACATACATATTTATTACTTTATACATTGAAATTTGAAACTTATAACTTACGAATTGAAATAATATTTTATTGTATTAAAATTTAAAACTTATAAAGTCACTCTTATTTATTCAATCTACTTATTATTCTATGCATTAAAATTTGAAACGTATAACTTACGTATTTAAATTATATTTTATTCATACTTATTATTTTTGAATTATATTTAACATACTTATTATCTTTTAATTATATTTAAAAAATGTTTATTAGAATTAATAGTTATATTATATTAGAATATTTTTTTTATTGTAATAGAAATACTCAATTAGTTCAAAAATGAACAAATACTTAAAAATGAATTATTGAATAATGTCACATGAATTATTTTTTTATAATTAATATCAAAATAAACAAATCTTCGTAATTTTAGTGTAATTCATTATTTATATTCACTTTATACTTTTGTATAACTGTAAAAAAAGATTAAAAAGATTATTTTTATTTTTATAAATTTTTTTATTAAAATTACATTTATTATTTATTATAGTTTGAAACTTATAACTTATGAATTAAAATAATATTTTATTGCATTAAAAGATGAAACCTATAAAGTCACTCCTATTAACTACACTTACTTATTACCCTATGCATTCAAATTTGAAACGTATAACTTATGAATTGAAATTATATTTTATTCATACTTATTGTCTTTGAATTGTATTTAAAGAATGTTTATTAGAATTAATAGTTATATTATCTTATAAACGGTAACCTAAATATTCATACTATAAATTGCTTTAAATTATCATTTATTAAAAATGATTATAATATTTTTTATAATTTACGATTTAAAATTATATCTAATTTGTAATTTTAAAATAATCTATAATTCAATATATACTTCAAACACTAAAGTATGAGTTGAATCAAAAAATTGCACTTACAAGATTATTACTTTTATTATAGATTGTTAAATACATTTTTAATAAAAAATTATTTAACATATTTAAATTATTTTATTATTTAGATTAATATAATTTATATTTCAATATTTATTGCAAATACTAAAATGTAGTTTGAATTAAATAACATTATTTATAAAAATATTACTTTCATTATAAATTATTAGATCAAATTTTTAATAAAAAGATAAGTGTGAATACCCAATTTTATCCAGGTCCCTGTCAAAAATAAATTTCAAAATAAAAAAATTAAATATAATAATTTCTTTTTTAAGAAGTTAAGAAAATAGATAAAAAAACTAATTTAAAATTTAAATTTAAATTTTTTATTTTTAAATGTAAAATCAGATTTAGAAATGGTTAAAGTAATTAGTAGATTTTTAGGAAAATGGATAAAAAAGAAAAAAAATTGATTACTGATCATCGAAAAATAAGGGAGCCTTTATTAAGATCTAGGATTTTAGAAAATGCCTATAAATAGAAAGCTTAGATCTTCAAAGAAGGGGACTTTTAGGTGGACACTTTTTATTTCTTTTATGGAGATACTTTGAGAGCACAGAGAGAAAAAAAGAGAGAATTCAATAAAGAAATCTCAGGAAACGAAGAGAAATAGGAGATTCAAAAAAGAGAACTCGAGAAAGAGGAAAGAGTTAAAAAGAAATCAATTAAGAGTTAAAGCATAGTCCTAGAGATCAATTGAAAAGAACATATCTAAAAGGTTGAAGGAAAAGTCAACTCAAAAAACTCTGAGTCATCATAAATGAGTCAACAAAAATTTAATCTACTTCTCTTTATCATTCGGTAAGAACAATTATTTCCTTTTTTTTTTTTGTTCATTTTTTCTTTTACTCATCATATCTTTATGTGTTTTTTCTTTTGTCTGTATTAAAATTTTTTCCTTTTACAAATCCTAGTTTATCTAACCTAAAAACTTTTCCTTTTCTTATAAACCTACAAAATTTCTAATTTTCCTTTTAACTCTAAAATTTTTCTTTTTGCAAATCCCAATTTTTTTGACATGAAATATTTGTTCGTTTTGTTAAAAAAAAGAACCTAAAAACCTTTTTTTTTCCTACTCCAAAAATCATTTCTTTTGCAAAATCCTAAACAATCTAATTTTTCTCCAACAATCATTTTTTAATGATAAATCCTCTTGTTTTTTTTCCGTAAACCTAGAAACCTAATGTTCTTTTAACCCTAAAAATCCTCTTTGTAAACCCTAAAAAAAAGCCTCTTTTCTAATCTTAAAAATATCTTTTTACAAATCTTAAAAACTTAACCTTTCTTCGTGCCTAAATTATTTCTTGTGTTCATTTTTTCTATCAGGATATATGCATGTTTTTGTGTTTTCTAAACAAAAAAAGGATGCGTTTATTTTTGAAATAAGGAAAGTCTAATAATTTTGAATCCACGCAACAGCCAAGCAATTTTGAGAGAGTGATGGATCTACCTTCAACGTCCCTTGGATTGTAAAGGTTTATTGAGTAGCAATGTGCTAACTTGAACCCTAGGCAGGAGTGGATTTACCTAAAAATAATAATAAAGAAAAGTCAAGTTTTTTTCAAAAAAAAAAAGAAGAAAATCTTTGAAACTTATTCAAAACTCAATTTTCAAAAAAAGAACTACGTACGGCATTGATTCCTACGTTACACACGGAGGATAAGTAGGAGTAAGAACCTGACCTGTCAAGTGCAAATTTTTTAAAATTTTTTCAGGTTCAAAATATTTTTAAAATTATTTTAAATTAAAATCAATTTCTAGCACATTTTCTTTATAAAAATTAAAAAACAATAATTTTATTTTATTTTAAAAATTATAAAAAAAAAAAAAAAACAAAAACTAAGGTGTTAAGATAAGTTTTTTTTACTATATATTTCTTTAATACAAAAAAAATATTTTTACAAATAACTCACCCTTTAATTCAAATAATTTTTATTGTGTTTCCTTATTTTAAAAAATAAAATTAAAATCTCTCAAAAAAATTGTAAAAATTAGAAATAAATCTAAAAATAATAATAATAACAAATTTAAAAATAGTAAAAAATATTAATTTGTTTCTTTTAGAGTGAAATAAATGTTTTTAAAGTTAAAATAAAATTTTACACAATTAATTAGAAGATAACCGTTTTAATCAACGGACGTCGTAAGGTGCTAATACTTTCCTTACATGTAAATAACTCTTGAGTCCAAATTTAGTTTCGAAGATTTTTTATCAAAAGTTTTGCAACATTTTCTTTAATAAAATTTGGTGGCGACTCCTTCTCATTGTCGTCCCCAGTTGCGACAATAAGTTTACATATTTAAATTATCTATTTAATTAGTTTAATTCAATATATAATTCAATATATAGTATTTAAAATTTATTTTTTAAATTTTATTTAAATTAATATTTGTTCTTTTAATAAAATTTTTAAAATATTATTTCATTATTAAATTAGTTTATAGATATATTTATTTTTTTAATTCTTAATTAAAATGATAAATAATAAACAAAATGTATTAATTATTTTTAAAAATTAAAAAATAATTATATAAGAAAAATTAATAAATTTATTATTTTAATTTTATGATCTAAATAACATAATTTTATTATACTTAATTAGTTATTAAATAAAATTAATTTATTTATAATGTCAATCAATATAATATAAAATAATTTAATCATTTAAAAAAAACTTAATTCTATATTTTTTTTTATCGAAAAGTAAACTTCTAAATTCAGTGTATATATTACATTATTATTAATTTTTATTTATAATATTTTTGTATGATAATTTTATTTATAATTAAAAAGTTTAATATATTTTTATTTTGAAATATTAACATATAGTTTTGTATATATTGATATTCAAAGCGGATTTTCAAAATTTCATACATTAGTTGAATAAATGCTTTATTTTTTATATATTAGTCTGATAAGTTATTTTAAAAAAATATGATATCATATTTTAATAATTATATAGTAAAATTTTATTTTAATTTTAAATTATAATTATAAATAGATAGTTTATCATATAAATTTAATTCAACAAATATAAACAAATATATAAATAAAAATTATAAGGCCTTTTATTTAAATTTTATAATATATATTAACAAATTTATTATATTTAATAATTTATTGTTATAATTATTTATTTAAAATTTTATAATAATAAATAATTTATGATATCATGAAAGAATATAAATTTTATTTTTATATTTTAAAAATAAGATATTTGTATATTATTTTATTTTATGCTAAGAAATACTAAATTATATATATTTTAAATAATAATTTATTTTGACAAATAATTTTTTTTATTATATTTATATATTTTTTATATTTAAATTATATATTTTATATTTTTAAATAAATAAATTTAATAAAAAAACAAACCTTACAACACACGAACATATTTTTTAGTATTTTAGTATGACTTATGTAAATTTCATAAAAGAATAATATCTTAAAATTGTGTATTAATTAGATAATGTGATCCCATTATTTCTCATTATTTATAAAATTTTTATAAAAAGAAATTAAAACTGTATTGAGGATTTGACTTTGTGGTTGAGTATATGTTTTGCTGACTTTTAGTAATTAAAATAAGATATGTGAAGCATGTGTATATCATAATGTGTATATATATATTGTAGTAAAAGCATTTGCTTATAGGGTATGTTGAGTGAACTGAGCGTGTGTGACACTAGTCAGTTGAAAGTTTATTTTATTAATTAAAAATTTTATTTAATAAAATAACTTTATCAAGTGAGATAGCTAAAAAATAAGTTGTTATTATTGTTTTTTAATTTTATTACACTTACACTCTAAGTTTAATAAAATTTTATATAATTTATTAATCTTTCTTTTGATTACATTTGAATAAGTTGAAATGCAACTTGTTCTAACATAAACTGTGAGGTAAGTAAATTACTGTGTGACAAGAATGGAATAAAAAGGTATTGGTGTGGGTATTGTTGACAATGGAGGAGAATGCATTAAGTTTGATTTATAGGTGAATCCCAAATAATACAAGTGCAATGTCTACACAATAACCCACTCAATTGGAATGAGAAACTATATATCGCAAACCCAAGGTGTGGGGGCAGACAAATAGAATTGCGCAAACCTTAGCTTTAAGGTTGAGCAATCCAAATCATGGGAATTTGGTCTCAGACCGTAACTCACACGAAGTTGGGACTAGTCAACATCTTTAGTCTACCATCCCACGTGATTCTGGCTAACTTCGCCTTTTATTCTATCTATTTTTCATTTTCTTTCCTTTTATTCTTCCTTTGCCTTGTTTCAGGATGATGCCCAGTTATATCATACATCAACACTGCAGGGTCACCAAGAATGGAACATGTCCTAATCTTATAACATTTTTCATCAACATGATTCTAAAAAAGTTATCTTTACTTTTAAAACTACAAGACTGAAGATTTTATTGAAAAAAATATATTTCAACATTTTTCATTGATTTTATTGATTTAATCTTTATAATTAAGTTTAAGTATCTACATTTTATAATTTTTTTATAAAATATTTATTATATTTGAGAGTATTAATACTTTGTTTTTAATAAAAAATTATTATTTTTAAAATATTAATCAAAATCAAAATTTTATACCTCGAAAGAATTAGTCTTCAGCTTTTAAGTGAACATACTTGAACAAAAAAAAAGGTAGAATAAACTAGACTAAATATGCATTTAACTAAAAGACCATGCTTTTCTGAAGAACGGAGCTGAGAAATCATATTTTTTTTCTCGTGAAATCAAATATGGAATATCCTTACTTAACATAAGGGAACAAACAACCTCACAAGGTTAACGGTTGATATATAATTTGATATCTGCTTTTACTTCAATAGTGAAGCATTTGCTCCAACAAACACTGTTTCATGAATAATGATCTAAGCATCATCATTATTACAAGCTTCAGGGAGAAGTAAAACAAATTAAATTGAAGGGTTATAAAGAGAAACCATACACAACAAGGAGATACCAATGACAGAAGGTATTGTTAGTGTTATGCTCAGATAAAAGTTGAGAGTTTCACCGGGTAACATATAATGTGTTTTTCCAACATTCATTTTTATTATATAAATTATTAAAAGGAAACTTTAACTTTAATTAAAAAATAACATCACTAATAAGTATAAAAAAATGTCTAGCCAACTATTTAAAGCACACGTTAAGAATACTGAAGAAAAAGAAAAGAAAAGAGAGAGACTTGACACATTTGGTTTCTACCTTCTTCATCTTTTTGACTAATGGGAATGAAAACAAAACTAAAAAAAATCCACAACAACAAAAAGAGAAAAGGTAAAAATGAAACAAGCAGAAGAAGAAAAGTAGTAAGGAAAGAACCTTGAGTAGTGCAAGATGATTAGGGGGAAGAAGTGAAAAAATTGGTTTTGTTTGAGATGAAGGAAAGAAAGAGTATGAAGAAGCCATGAAACTCAGGATGGATAGCGCAAGAGAAGATCGAAAGAGGAGGAAGAGAAGACCCTCCACCCTCCATGGCGCTATCCCTCCTGAGCTTTACAGATTCTTCCACACTAAAAA